TAACAAAAGCCTTGTAAAGTTTGTAGTTAAAGTACTGTTAAATTATATACATTCAATTTTAGAAGTGAAGCTACCATAACTTGTTGTAAATTGTACTTGTTTCTTTCTTTGAAGGTGGTTAATTAACTCTGATTTGTATGAAACATCAAAAGTATCGGATTATTTTTTCATGTCAAATTTTGTACATTACCGATTCAGAGGATGAAAACGAAGAAATCAACAAAATCAAAAAAAAGAACAAGGAATAAATGTGTATAGCGATAATTCGAGCCTCGCAGAGGCTGAACAATAGGCAGCAGCATAGTTTGTCAAACCAACTCACTTCTCACTTCATAGTCAGTACCGTTTTAAAATCTTTTGAAAAGATAGCGAAGATTAGTGAAGATTATCTTAGTTTAATCTTGAATGACATTTATGGATTCCCACACCACATTTACAAAACATGTTTCGTATGCATGTTTACATAAAGTTAGATCAGAAATGATCATTAATTTAATGGACTTCATCACTTTTTCTAATGCATTCGTGAAAACCACGCATACCGCCATTTTGGTCGCTATGTTAACATAATGACGTCATAGCGAAAGCGGAAGTTCGATTTCTGTGCCGTTCTGTCTTCTTTTTATCTGTTTCTAATTCACAGAAAGTTAACATCAACAGTCCTACACACAGACCCACACTAGATAATGTTATCTTATGTCTTTATTTGAAAGATAATCCAAAGCTTGAAAACAGTCTGGGGGAACCAAAATTGGAACAGCATGGCCTCTTTTACCTCTCACTGTTATGATGCCTCCAACAGTTTTTTTTTTCAAGTGCTGAGAGAAATTTCAGCATTGTATTTGTTATGATACTGTCGTTATTCTTTCGTTTATTATAGTCTGAAATTTTCAAAGCTTCGAGCTCCCCTGGTCTTCGTTTGTTAAATAATATTAATCGTGCTTGTGTGTATTCAACCACTGTTTTAAAGTCTGTATCTGTTGACTTGTAGTCAAGTTCAGACAGTTTGCTCTTGATGTTATTTGTGACAAGTTGTATTTCTGTTGCACTTGGTAAAGTTGATTGCCTATTATATTGTTTCTGTTCTAATTGTTTCACTGCTGAAGATGATATCACCACCTTCTGTGATACAGCTTCAAAAAATTGTAAACTCTGTGCCTGACAGCAGAATGGCACTGCACATAATTCTGGCCCTATTTTGGCAACCACATGAATCGCTATACAGAATTGCAGAATTACAACCTTCATTATCTTAAATCTCTGACCACTTGATTAAACATGATGTAATTTCATTTGTTCCACGTTTGCCTTCACATTCATGCCATGCATAACAAAAGCCTTGTAAAGTATGTAGTACAAGTACTGTAAAATTATAAACATTCAATTTTCGAAGTTAATATGCTGACCCAACATTCAGTTTTGGAGCTACCATAACCTGTTGTACATCTAAAAAAAACGCTGTAATAGTGTTATCAACAACTTTATCTGCTGTTTTAACTGTTTCGTGTTTGTTCCTTTCTTCGAAGGTGGTTAATTAACTCTGATTCATCTGAAACATCAAACGTAACGGATTATTTTTTCATGTCAAATTTTGCACATGTGTCACAGAAATCTTTGCTAGGAACATGGAATCCTTCTGTAACAAACTTTAGTTCTTGATTTCTTTGTAATTACAATCTATACATTATTTTGATGTTAAGACTTGGATCTAGGTATTCACGGTTTGTGGTAGATAGATATTAATGACTCTCAACCCTTGGGGAAACTCTTGATGTGTTTTATAACTCCTTCCTTCATTTCTAAGGGTGTTTTGTTTGCTGGCTCTTTGGGTTGAGGTGGTTGGATGATGCCAGCATTGCATCTGTCAAGGTTGTATTTTACCATATATCAAGAGTATTTAAAAACATATTAATTCTGTTAACTGCCATGAAAGTGCTTTAAAATCAAGCGGTTTTTCCGAAAATAAATTCAGTGACAAGTTCGTCCCATATAGAATCCAAAATTATTTGGAATATGTCCTTACTTATTCTAAAATGTGCAGTGAAATCCTGTAATGTGTATTCTGGAACGACAAATTCACAAAACCCGGTTATTTTCGGTATGATAGATCGACGTTTTAAAAACCCAAATATGAAAGCAATATTTGGACAACTCGGGCTCCAATCGAAGTCACCCTTTGATATAAGGAATGGCGTCTGCTAACGTAAACAAACCTGACCTACTTTTCATGGTTGGTAAAAGCTGGCCATTTCAACAACCGCACGAGACACCTATGATATAAGGTAATGGCGTCTGCTAACGTAAACAAACCTGACCTACTTTTCATGGTTGGTAAAAGCTGGCCATTTCAACAACCGCATGAGGCACCTTTGATATAAGGTAATGGCGTCTGCTAACGTAAACAAACCTGACCTACTTTTCATGGTTGGTAAAAGCTAACCATTTCAACAACTGCATGAGCCAACTTTGATAGAAGGTAATGGCGTCTGCTAACGTAAACAAACCTGACCTACTTTTAACTTCGTCTCGAGCTTTCAAGCACTGTAAGCCCCTTTCAATATGGCCACAAATATTCCAAAACAGACTTTATGCTGAAGTACCTCCAGGTTTAAGAAGTATTCCATGGTTGTCCAATAGATGCAAAACATGTCTTTTTATATCAGAAACTCATTATTTTGTAAGCAACTCTACGAATAAAAGGTACCGTACCCGATTCAGGAACATCTAACATGTGAACATTTGAATGTAATATATTTAATTTCATGCATGAAATGCCCCAAACAATATGTAGGAGAAACTAAGAATAATTTACGAACCCGTTTTAATGCTCATAGGTCAGACATCAAATTAAAGAAAGACAAGCCTGTTTCTAATCATTTCAACCTCGACGACCATTCAATAGACAATCTCACCCTAATCCCAATTGAGCGTATAGAAATTGACTTGCCCGAAGATGAAACTACCAAATTCCGTCAATCTAGGGAAGCCCATTGGATTGAGACATTGAATACAGCAAGACCTATAGGACTAAATATTCATCATAATGTAGGCATAGCACCCTTTGCTGTCCCGTTCAATACAACCAGCAATCGAGCAAGCAAGATAGTTCATGCCCACTATAAGAGCCTTCAAGAGAAATACCCCCATGTCTGTAAGCAGAAAATGATAGTTGCATATTCAAAAAATAAGAACTTAAATGATAATATTGTTCATAGTAAACTAAAAACAATCAGTACATAACAGATACTATACTTCTCGCCCATCGTGCGAGTTATTTTTTCTAATTTCAGATCAGAATAAGAACAAGAAAAACAAGAAAACCCAATATCAACACCCTTAATCCTAATTTCTAAATAAAGTGTCTGCTCCACCCTAGGCCTGTACATTTCCCGAAATCTACTCACTAGTCAACCACTTTTTCCATACTTTTGAAATTCTGTCTGTTATCATACATTTTGTTCGGATGATGCATTCGTCCAGAAGATGCCAATGAAGGAGCATCAGTGGCACAGTGAATGCCACTTTCACATAACGGACAGGTGTCAACATTGTTTGGCCAGTGAAAAAAATTTGAAAGTCCATGATGGTGCATAAAACTCTTGTTAAAATGCAGACCAAAATGACAATATCAACTGAAATATTGTTAATTTGTCCTTCACTAATAAATTGTGTCACTCAAGTCATTGTTTCTTAATATATAGTAACATTTCACTTCAACTATTTTATTGTCATGACATGAACACATAAATATTGTATCAAGACTTGCACGAATAAAAGGGTGATAAGTGTGCACAAGCAAGCCTGGTCTAGTCATTTCTGTATCATTATGATTAAATCTTTACAATATGCATTCAAAGCTGTTTTTCACGCTGAATATCACTACTTGTAAATTTCAATGAGTGTTTTAAGTCTGATCTTTTCCTCCTGAAACTCATTGTCCAAAACCGAATCAATACCTTTATGTGAGAATTCTGATATGCATAATGGTTGTGGATGAATGTTAATTTCACTACTGTATAAGTCAAAGTCCAACAAATTTAGCTGTCCAAAAATCTCTTCAAAATATTGGTACACTTTCAGGTTCCGATGGTCGTCGAAAGTATGCGCCTTGTATCAAGTTTAAACATTGTCCGGAACCATAAAAAAAGTTTCCAAAATATAACCCTCTTACGGGTGCTCATCAAGATGCCCAATCCGTAAAGTCAAGACGACATCAGAGCTGATAATGTTTCATCTTTTATTTCAGCTTCCTTTGATCTGCAACCTGTCCTTTAGATTCCCGGTAGCTCAACATATTTAATTTACCATAGCAGATTGTGCGTATACTAACTTTCCGTCTATAATGCACTACCCCAAACATCGCATATTGCTATTGCTGGTCAGAAGTCGAAAGTGGTAGGGGCGGAAATGAAATTAGATAACAAAAAAATCCTAATCATTATGTTGCTTCTATGTTTCATGCATATCAATTTCCAAAGGATCATGTCAATAATTATTAAAGAATGGACACAAAAAGGCTTTTTTGACCAGAATATCTAGTGGTGATTTTTATCTCATTCTTGAAACTACCTCAACAAGAATGCCAGTTTTGGATATCTGCCAAAATGGTTATGTACATCTGAAGTAAAAACCGAAAATGATTTAACCAACTTTTTTTTAATCAACAAAACACAATTATTTAGGTTTATCTAGTATACTCAAGATATGAGATAGGTTTAGAAAGATAATTGTTGAATAATTCTAAGAATAGGAGGGGATGTTTATTTCGTCCCACAAATGGGACAATGGCTACAACTGGGTACGTATTCCTGGACATTGATTTATCAATCAGACTGATGAAACTGAGTAATGTTTACGTTCAAATAACAATACTCATTATTCAAAATTTATTAATCAACTTTAATAATATTTAATTGCATTATAATATTACATCAATTTCATCAAAATATTTTAGTATTATCATTCATGTTTTCTGAAAGTCATGAATCAGTATGTTCAGTTCAGTTTCCTTGTCGATGAAATGCAAAGCTGTAATTTAAATGAATGGGAACATTGCATTTTCCACACATCATCATGGTCTTTTTTCCACATTCTGCACATCTTCTCTGAGTACCACCAGAAGCGATGTAGTGGTTGCGGCCGTCTGTCCTCACATCAAGGGGAACCTTTTTGTCACATCGACTAGCATGTGTTGAAGGTGGTCGACCAATATGGCGAGCTGCTGTATATCTCCTTAAATAAACATCAACGATTTCTTTCTTGAATTTCAATTGATCTATGACATTTTCGGTACAGAAGCCAAGCATTTTGGACCATGGTATCTAAAAGGAATGCAAATAGTGGCCACCACCACTTTTTAGTTCTCATGTCGATCCTATAGTACCCAATGTTTTGATCCATTCGGTCAACTCCACCCATGGTATTGTTGTACACTTTGACAAGCGCGGGCTGATCAACAAGAATGTGAGCTTTTTCTTTAGCAGAAAAACGCCTAGATTTTTCTGTTGGAAAGACATGGTCGGTATTTGATGCCAAGGTTACAACATTATTATCGTTCCAGTTGACCAATAAAATACCATTTTTGTCGTCGTACCTGTAGTCAAAACTTCCCCTAGGTTGTTTTCCAAGATCTTGAGTAGGTGTAATAGGACACTTTTGAAGACGATTAGATCGTATGGTACCAGTAGCACCTATTCCAGCATCAGCCAAATCAGACAATAACTTTATAGTTGTAAAGAAGTTATCAAATGTAACTCTGATTGGCAAGCCATTTGGCAAACAACTCAGGAGATTAGTGACTACGGAATAACCCAATCCATTTGTTTTGTCATAGCCTGCACTTGCGCCCTGGTAGGGATCTAATTGAATCATGTAACCATCAGTAGTGGATAGAACCCAAGATTTATAGCCAAAACGAATTGGTTTGTTTCGAATGCATTTCTTGGCTCCATGTCTGTCAAAATAAGGTATCATGCTCTCATCCATTGACAGGTGCTGCTCCAGGGGGTAATATTTGACACATCTTTCATTAACAAGATCAATGAGCGGTCTAACTTTGGCAAACTTATCGTTCTGTTTTAAATTATTATTATCGGCAAGATGTAGGTATTTCATGATATTATTGAACCGGTTTCTGGACATTGCTTCTGATACAGCCTCATTGTGCACATCAGCTTTAAGCTCCCAGTACATATTGCGACGTGGCAATGGAGCATAACCAGAAATATACAAAATTGCAATAAACAGATGAATTTCATCGTATGATGTTTTGAAATGGTGATCGCCTTTCTCCTTAGCATACTTGTTTGTTTCATTTACAAGCAATTCAACAACTTGGTCATCTAAAAACCATTCAAACATAGTTGTTGGAGAAACAGATGCTGATAGGAATTCAGGTGGATCTTGGTCCCAGACTCGTTGAGTTGTCAAATTCTGTTGAATGTCTATTTTTCTCCATTGTGATGGTGGTACTGGAGTATACGATGACGTAAACCGTTTACGGGATACTTCTGACGGTGTAGCTTGAATGTTCTGTCCTTCATCGAGATTCTGAAATTAAATTATTGTAAGACTAGTAGGTTTAAAAATTATAAGCATAGCACCAGAAAGTGATATATTGTGTTTGGTATGAGGGCAATAGTGTTTTCCCAAACCAATAACTTTAGGTCGCATTGTGTGGGATTTTAATACTCATCGAGATCTGTTAGAAGAGTTGTGTGAACAGAGACTGTTGGAACACGACAACATGGTGCGTTTTCCGGAAAGACAATCAGGATATTTGCTTTGAATTCGTATTCAATGTGGACGTGGTATCATTTGGCCCATGACATAACTCTATTGACTACTTACCGGTACATGTACATCATTGGGCGTATCATCGTCAACTGCGCTTAATGAGACTTCTTCACCAGACATAAACTGAACGACGACATCTGCTTGGGCGAGAAGTTGCTGTTTAGATAGATTATTTATTCCAGCACCATTGTCCTCGTCACCACTATCCTCGTCTGAAAGTGACCCTTCACCCGGAGGCTGCAAAAAGATATCGACATGCCTGATATCATCGCCATCTTCTTCAATAAAGGAAATGGCCTCATGGACGTTGAAAACCCTAAAATTTTAATATAATAATATTAAATACCATACAAAATGCCAACGAATCAAGCATGCGAGAACGCGTAGCCATTTGTGGCCGTTGTCCCACTACTGGGACGTTTTGTTATTTACCAGGGATTTTCGTAATTTTCATTGTAATTAATAGATCTATTGTTTGAAACACTCTCATATAACTTTTTTTTCGACATGTATGTGCAATTTACATAGAAAACAATTATAAATACAAAGAAAACAAACCTTTTTCTACTTGATGTGTTTGTTGACATTTTCAAGGCAAGGTCAAATTCAAGGGAGATAACTCTGCGAAATATGAACTGTAGACACTTAGGTCACTCCAAAGAGATAGTGTGTCCACTAATGTTTTATGGTGATGATATTAAATTCTACATCTTATATTAGTTGCTTGATTACGATTATTGGGGTGTCCCATAAATGGGACAATGGCTTAAAATGGGTTAAGCATTTCTGGTTTGACCAAATGTCTTAACTTGTGGCAGCTAATTCGGATTATTATGAAATTCGACGTAAATACTTACGTACCGTAGTGAAACGGGGGCCAAATACTCTTGAAAAACATGGAAAAAATTCAAAATTCAAAAAACTTTTTGATTTGCTCAGACCATAGAGTGATTGATCTGAACTGTCTTCCTCATGGTTTACTGTTAATTTTTAATCTTCCAATTCTAGTCTATGCATTGTTGTATACCTATATATCTCATCTACCATATCTCTTCTCACTAGTCAGCCACTTTTTCCATTCTGTCTGTTATCATACATTTTGTTCAATGGCACAGAGAATGTCATTTTCACATATCGAACAGGTGTCATCATTGTTTGGCCAGTGTAAAAAAACTGAAGGTTCATGAGGGTGCATAAAACTTTTGTTAAAAGGACTAATGCAGACCACAATATGACAATATCAACTGAAAAATTGTTAATTTTCTCGTCACTAATGTGTTACTCAAGACATTGTTTCTGAATTTTATTGCCATGACATGAACACATAAATATTGCACCAAGACTTGCACGAATAAAAGGGTGATAAGTGTGCACAAGCAAGCCTGGTCTAGTCATTTCTGTATCATAAAGATTAAATCTTTATAATATGCATTCAAAGCTGTTTTTCAAGCTTTATTCCTCATGTTAAGGATGGTACTTTAATACTCAAATCAGAATCTTAATAATATAGAATAACGTCTTTTACAACTAAGTCAAAATTTGAAACACCGTGCTTAAAAAAATCGAGAATTCTCATCACTTTACTACTAGAGAGTGCTGCCTTTCTTTGTCCAAACCACAAATCAGAAGCTGTCTGATCCTGGGTTAAAAATTAAACATGTTGAATATCACTACTTGTAATAATATAGCGTATAATGGTTGTGAATGAATGTTAATTTCACTAGTGTATACTAAGTCAAATTCCAAGTCATTTGGTAGACTATCTTCCCCGTTCGCCATTAACTCACACAGTACACCAATGTCAGAACGAGCTTGTCCTCTCCTGAAAAATTCAAATGTTAAAAGATGAACCAGATGACAAGAACTTCAAAAAGGAAAGTTAGCCTTTGAGAGTGATTTTCAAAGCTGTGTTCTGTATTCAGCCAGCAAGCACAGATGGAAAAATTCATGCTGGAAAATGCTAAAATTGAAATAATTACCTAAACATTGTAGACTATTAGTATTAACAATTTCTGAGATACCGGTAAATACCTAATATGTGGGATTTTTACGTAACTTCAGCATGGGACTAAGAACACTTGTAAATGTTTAAATAAAAATAAGTATCTGAGAGGGTTCCCTGACCGGTAGGCCTAGATCAGGAAGGGAGTTGTTTAAGTACAATAAATAGCCAGCGGGCTACCATACCCAACAGCGCATTAGCAAAAACCACCATATGGTTCTCGTCGAGTATGATATGAAACCACTTCACTCTTGTATTGTCCGTACTGTGGGATGGCAAACATTGCTTTAACAACACAGAAAAATTCACTGTTATTTAGTGCACGTGAAAGTTATACTTCTATGAATTGTTCTTGCTGAATAATTTTTCATCATACCAATATCCAATTCAGGTAACGCACTGATATTTTTCTGCCACCCTTCAAGGCTCTGAATCGTTCAAAGCGTGAGGGATTCAAACTCTCATTTCTTTATCACCATGTCAAAGATTTGCGAATCTGGGCTGTTTTACTTTAACTTCGCGCAAAAGTTAGCCTGTTGTTGTTATTCTCATGGTGTCTCATAAATTTATTTCCAAAGCTTCCCTTCCAATTTTTTCAAGTTAATATTTGCCTCTATACATCTATACTTTAATTCAGACAGCGATTTCACATCCTTGAAAGTACGTGGTATGGTCTTCTTTTCCTTCTGTGGATTTATTTCCGTCATGTTTCTGAGGTCAAAAGGGTGATAAACCGGAATCATTTCAGCGCGCGTTGCATTACATACTAAAAACTATTATAGGCATCTGGCTAAGGAATTTGACGTGCGAATGACGATGGAAAACCAGGCATTCTGGTATGGTAATTGCTACGGCTATGTAGCGACCTCAACAAGCATCATCCCGCGAAACTAATCAAGGAATGAAAAGAGGGTTCCAGACCATTAAATGAAATGAATGGAGTTTTACGTCCTACTACCAGACCATGAAGAAGCAATGAGTATTAAAATATCGTAAATAAACGAGGCGATTTATGTTACATCTTCAGGTGACAATAGTTGAATTCAGGTGACAATAGTTGAATTCTAATTCCTAGTGATGTTGATGGTCGGAACTATATTGACAGAAGTTATTGAATCTCTCAGACATTAGCTTTCAGAAATACCTTTTCCAGATCCAGCCAACAGAAAGTATCACATGTGAATCCAGATTTGCGAAACAACTGAGTTGCAGCCTCTGGTGGTATGACCACAATGAAGACCCATTTAGACAAAAACATTATTTCAACCTATTGTCTTCTAATCAATGAAGATTTCGTGTCATTAGATGAAACCGAAAAGCTGTCCTGGATGTGAAACAACTAGAGAAAGACTTCGTGGCTGAAAATGGCAAAACGGTTGGCACTTCTGAAGGAAGCTAAAAAGAAAACGAAAAAGACGAAGGACAAGTAACACCGACAACGATCAAACGGCTTGATAGATTCACTACCAAATGTACATTTCAAATTTCGAACATTTTGTAAATCCGTACCGTTATCAAGCGTGGAAATAATGTTAAAGACATATTTCTTATATAACATTTTAATCACTGCTGTATGTAGTGTGGATGTCGGTTTAGATTGAATAAGCAATCGGTGTTGAATATCACTAATAGTTTGCAAAAATGAAACATAACAAATCAACATATCAAATTTATTATGACGTTCATTTGCTCCTTCGAAGAATAGAAGGAATTAAATTTCGGGGAAGGGAGGGTTTCATTCTCCCAAATGTACAGGCCTAGGGTGGAGCAGACACTTTATTTAGAAATTAGGATTAAGGGTCTTGATATTGGGTTTTCTTCTGTTCTTATTCTGATCTGAAATTAGAAAAAATAACTCGCCCGATGGGCGAGAAGTATAGTATCTGTTATGTACTGATTGTTTTTAGTTTACTATGAACAATATTATCATTTAAGTTCTTATTTTTTGAATATGCAACTATCATTTTCTGCTTATAGACATGGGGGAATTTCTCTTGAAGGCTCTTAGAGTGGGCATGAACTATCTTGCTTGCTCGATTGCTGGTTGTATTGAACGGGACAACAAAGGGTGCTATGCCTACATTATGATGAATATTTAGTCCTAAAGGTCTTGCTGTATTCAATGTCTCAATCCAATGGGCCTCCCTAGATTGACGGAATTTGGTAGTTTCATCTTCGGGCAAGTCAATTTCTATACGCTCAATTGGGATTAGGGTGAGATCGTCTATTGAATGGTCGTCGAGGTTGAAATGATTAGAAACAGGCTTGTCTTTCTTTAATTTGATGTCTGACCTATGAGCATTAAAGCGAGTTCGTAAATTATTCTTAGTTTCTCCTACATATTGTTTGGGACATTTCTTGCATGAAATTAAATATATTACATTCGAATGTTCACATGTTAGATGTTCCTGGATCGTACCTTTTCTTACAAAATAATGAGTTTCTGATATAAAGGGACATGTTTTGCATCTACTGGACAAACATGGAGCACTTCTTAAACCTGGAGATACTTCGGCATACAGTCTGTTTTTAGCTATCTGTGCTAAG